GTGTAAGAATGTTAATCTCCTCATATTATATAGCACTTAATCAATTGATTAAATAAAAAAAAAATTTATTTTATTTTTTTATTAACATATAATATTATTTGCCCCAGGAGTACAGGTCTATGAATCGTCAGGGTTACACATTTCACAGCACCCACCACAACATACAGCCTCCCCAGTGTCCATAACCCAGCCACCCTGTCCCTCCCCTATAAGACATATAGATTTTAACTCTGGAATATTTTCATCATCATTTCTTAATCTTTCTTACACCAATGATTCACAATCTTGCGTGCCCACTAGAATCACCGGAGAGCTTTAAGAAACACTAATACTTGAATCCCATCCCTACAGATTCTGATTTAATTGCTCTTGGGTCCTTCAGATTTTTAAAAGCTTTTCAGCGGATCCCAGTGTGTGGTCACGGTTGAAAACTTCTGCCATAGAGGAGTGCTCTAAGAACTCATCTCACTGGTCTTGATGAAACATTTATCCATAGCCTGGAAATTCATTCCACTTTACTTCAGTTTTTCCATTAAATTCAAGGAAATTAAAGGTAATTCATGAAGATGCCTTCTACATAGTAAGATTCCTGCTTTCTTTATATCTCTCTGTTATCCTTCCACCCATGTGTGTCAGTAGAGAGAATTGTCAGAAGCATATGTGAACATTAATACTGGATTTGAGTAAATTGGTTTTTGTCTGTTTTGACTACTCTTTTTTTGTTTGGAATTTGTGTCAGAAGCATGAGTCACATTTTTTTAAAACAATAAAATAACTACTCATAGGAATAAATTGTTTAAATAAAGCTTAATAAAATTGAAAGCAGTTAGGCAAATAAAAATGTCAAATTAAAACTGGAGATTGCATGCATATTTCTAGTTCATAGGACAGCTGATTTAATTCTTGAAAGTGGAAATGGAAATCCGGGCTTGTCAGGACTTATTTTATGGCTATGGGCAAGTCTGTCTCTGTTAACCTTTCACTGGAGGGTGAGGGTGACAGGACAAATAGTAAGTTTAATCTGCCAGAGAATGAATAATGTTGATTTGCACATATGTGGACAGAGTATTTCGGAGTACTAACTACACAACAAAAATAGGGTTTCATAATTTCTATAAGACAGTCTAGAGAAGATGCGTCATTTGACTAGAGAAAGAAGGCTGTCGTTGTCTAGTTAATGTTTAAGTTTGTTCTTGAAATAACTGATTTGTCCCTATTCCCCTTTTCCTTGAGTTTAAGTTTGGTGTACCCTTCTGGAAAGAAAAATAAATCCATCTCCCAGCACTGACCTATATAAATCAAAGTCAAATATACATACATACATATACACAGATATATTTACATATCCATGTATATTTACATATCCATATATATTTATTTACATTATGCCCAAGCAAATATATGGAATTGCAAATAAAGAGAATATCCAGAGATGTATAAGGGATACTGGTTCAAAGAGGACATACAGTGGAGAGATTATTTAACAAGCTAAAAATCAGGAGTTTTAATTTCAGTTCTACTGACATTTTGAGCCAAATAACTCTTCACCGTAGAGAGTGTCCTGTGCATTGTAGGACGTTGAGCAGCATTCCTGGCTTTAACCCACTAGATGCCAACAGCAACTTCTCCCACCCCCCCCAAACACACAGCTGTGACAACCAAAAAAATGTCACAGACATCTTCAGATGTTCCCTGGGGAGCAAAATGCTAAATTTTAATTTAGCTAAATTCTAATTCTAAATTCTAAATTTTAATTTAGCTGAATTCTAACATGAAAAATCTTAAAAGATACATGGTGGTTGCTAGGGAGGTAGAAAGAATGGGAAAACTTAAAACAGACTTTCCAGAATCAAAGTACAGCTTGTGATGGGGAGCCTGGCTGGCTGCCTCAGTTGCCTGGGGCCTCAGTTGATGGAGCATGCAACTCTTGATCTTGGGGTTGTGAGTTCAAGCCACAATGGGTGTAGAGATTACTTAAATAAAATTTTTTTAATTAAAAACACACACACAAAGTACAGTTTATGAGAAACTTAAGAAATTTTATTTCACTTTTTGTTTCTTACCTTTCATGTTTTGTCTCTTGTGATAAAGCTCTCAAAACCCTATGACTAGTCATGTGGTATACGGTGACTATGTATATATATTCATACATATATGAATACACACACACACACAGAGACTAAGTAGACAAAAAAAAAATTGGCCAAAGGTCACACCCAGCAAAATCTCTGAGAAACCATGTTGTATAGACTTCCAAGAGATGATACGCTCAAGATTTTACTCTCTCTCTATTCCCCCTCAGAGAAAAGAATCCGCTATGACTTTGATTCTGTGGAATTAATTGAGCCTGGACATCTAGCTACCTAGTCACTGTTGTAATTCTCTCTCTGAGGGCCCTCCTCTTCTTCTCGCACAGATTACGTAGAAGTGCTGCCTGAACCTCTCAACAGTCCACTTGAGACTGGCCCATCTAGTTTATGTTCTCTTCTCTGCACGCTAATATTTTCTGCACTGAAGGGATTCAAGTTTGAACTTAGCAAGATCAAAGACAGCCCAGAGATCACATTCTGCACTCCAATTTAGCAGAGTATCATAAGCTGGAATTCAGAAGTGAGCAAGGCCAACAGTGACATGGTACTTTCCCAGTCACTAGTGTCCTTCACACACATCCACAGATTAGAAAGCTTGTGGTGGATAATGGCTGCGGTTTAGCAAGCAGTTCTGCCATACCTAAGACCCTTGACAAAAGGCCATGTAAATACTATTGTTAAGAACCCCAAAGCTTTTGTTTAACCACTAAAACATGGCAAGCGTGAGTTATTGTTTTTACAACAATAACTATATTGGTTAGGTTAGGACTATATTGACATGTTTACTAAAAAAAAAACCCAAAACAACAAAAACACGAATGTGTCATTGTTGAATGTGGTAATATGTGCAAACCTTGAATATATTACATTCTTTCTACAAGAAATCACATAATCAATTTTCACAGGAAGAAAGAGGCCAAGAAGCTCAATTTGGCATCATGTCACTCAATCCCTCTTTGTGGGATCAGTTCTTGGGGCCAAAGAGCTCCCCCTGGGCTCAGGGTTGATGCACCTTGACTTTGGTGATGTAGACAAAGCAAGCCAGATTCAAGACTAAACATGCAGACAGTGTAACAATTTTCAACAATAATTTGGGCAGCGAAGGGACCAGGCATCTCCTCACAGACATTCAGCATTACTCATACCAATAAGAAGAAAAAGGGTAAGCATGCCTGTGGGTCGTGAAGGATGTCCTCCAAGTGTCTGCTGGCAGGAAACAGACACAAAGTAGAAGGCTGACAGGGAGTCTGATCTTTCTCCCAGTTCCCTCTCAACCTTTACTCCCATTCTGGTTTCTTTTGCTTCTTTTCCACAACGACTAAGATCAAGTTCTGGTTTATCAGGACCTCTTCTAACCTTGATTCTCTCAATTCCTTAAGGCATGTAGGCTGTGACCACAAATACTCTTAAGTGTCAAAGGAAACTACAAAGTTGTACGAATGTTAACCCCTGGTAAAGCTGAAACTTGTAATTATCCTGTTGTCAGACTTCAAAAATGATTTCTAGTTTATTACATTTTCTTTACTCCTAATTTATTGCTATCAGTTTCAGGATGTGATTTTTTTTTTTTTTTTTGCTTCTTCCTTTTGTTCTGTTGACTGCCAATCAGAGGGTGTAATGCAACTCTAAGAGACTGCACAGTGTTCTAATTAAACAATAGGATTCACACATTTCCTCCTTGCATGACAAATTAAAGAGAATACAATGCTTTTAATTGCCCATGCTGGATTTTTTTTAATTCTTTTATTAATTAAAACATGCAAATGGTGATGTAATCAAGACTGAGAGACCTGATCTTGCCAAGAAGAAGTATTTGTGAGACTTGACTCTGAGAATTTAAAGATTCTCTCCAAAGCCAAGACTGAGGTTAGAGGAACAGAACCAAAAAGAATGCTTAAGTGAGGCCAAACCAGCAACTAGATATCTGAACAAGGAAAGCTGCAAAGTTGAAAATTCACTTCTTGGGTCGTCTTTCTTTCCATCATTTGCCCACACTAAGACTTGCATGATTTCCCAATTTCAGTCTAGTTAAACATAAGTTGATTATGTGATTATGCGATCCCTCACATCTTGATTATGTGAGGGAGAGAAACAAAAAAACAAAAATAAAAAAAGTAGTATGTTCTGGTCGCATCACCTAGGTTTTTCCTTAATTCCTGAAAAGAAAGTATTTTTCTGGAAAAACTTTAGGTGAATAAATCATGTCATCAACAGAAAAATCTCTCTTTAAGAAAGAAGGTTCAGTAAGAGAGACAAATGACATACAGACCTGTAGGGTAACTGAAGTTCCCTAGGCTTGTAGCTCTTCACACAGAAAAGGGGTACTTTCTGATTCCTCTGGAATTTCAGGTAGCTTTATGGGTTTCATGTTCCTCTCTTTGTGTATCTTTTCTTTTTCTGGCGTTATTGTGTGGACTTGGTCCAGACATTAGGAGACACTTAAAATATGATGTGAAAGGACTATTGCAAATAAAAATCAGCAGCTGGGAGGAGAATGAAGGGTTAATGGGTAACATATACCACTGCTTTCAAAGGAAAGGAAAGGACTGGAGATCTGTGCATCAGAAGCAGCATCTCAGTGCTATCCTGCAGAGAGCTAAATAGCCATAGAGTACACATGCTTAGAAGCAGAGTCTCCTTTTAATATGCTGAATGCCTCTAGTGTTAAAGTATCCATTTCTCTCAACACCATTCACATATTTTATGCCTGAACATATAAATGTCATAAGGCTTATATATACAACACCCAGGATTCAGTGCCCCACATGGATGAGATGATCTGATATGACACAGGGCCCACCTGTTGCTGTGTTAAATAAAGAAATCACCTTGAGGACTAAACATCAATTTCTATGAGAGACCAAGGTATGGAAGATTATGCGTTTGTCTCCTAGTTTCTTATTTTGTATCTGTATGGCTCCTTTGTAATAAACATGGTAAATAAGAAAATGACGTACTCATTTATTTGAAGAAAATTATAAGAGAAGACAGACTTGACACAGTTGACTTGCAAATGCATGTGAGTCTACAATAGGAGGTAGAGCTCTGATAAGTTCAGGCTGCCGCTGTTGTCCCCTTTTCCCTAACAGAAGTTTCCATACCATCAGAGAGATACACGATACCTCGGGGTAACAGTCCTCATCTTGCAATTTAGTTTAACTGCTAATGAAAAATATCATTCGTGGACATTGAGGCTGGTTATGTGAAACAGAAATAGGCAATGGCCAAGAATACTTAACAAAATCCTTGACCAGGACTTCTTTCTGAAATTCAGATAGGAATCGTTGATTTCCTTCACCCAATTGTCAAAGCTGGTTAAGCATTTTTCTGTAAGATTTTTGCCTCTGGGTCTGGTGCTGGAGCTTAAAATTGAGTGGGTAACTGGGCCAGGACAATGGCTGTAAACTGGGGAAGACTGAGGTCAGATGAGAAACCACTAGCATGAACTGGGATCTCATGAGGACAGACTGCAAACCAGGTCAGTTCTGCTACCTCTGACCTTGGTGCTGAGGTTATCCTGTAAAAGTCAGGGCCCTTCATTACAAAGCTAAATACATAATCCAGGTTGAGAAGTTGGAGAAGCTAAAAGAGGATCCAGGGAAAGGCCGAGTACGTTCAGGTCCTTCCGATGCTTCACACCAATAAGGTAAGTCAGCAAGTCAGCAACAACATACATGAATACAAAATGCTGCTCCTTCCTTTCCATCCTCCAAATCTTCCAAGAATCTCCCTTGTGGTCCACCCTAACCAGAAACATACAAAAACATAGGGCTGCCAGATAAAATACAGAATACAGACACCAAATTAAATTCAGATAAACAGATTTTTTTTTTTTGGTATAAGTATGTCTCAAATATTGCATGGGACATGTTCCCATTAGACAGAGAGAGAGAGAGAGAGAGAGAGACATTGTTTATACAAAATTCAAATGTAACTGAGTGCCCTATAATTTTTATTTGCTTAATCCGGTTTTCCTAAAAGAAAGGGAATTCTGGGAAATGTAGTTCAACCCAACCAAGCAGATACATTACAAACCCATTATATCATGTATTAGGAGATTTATAAACTGCGATTATATTGGCCACAGGTGCTCTCAACTCTGCATCATTTAGCTCTGCCAGGAATATAAGGTAAAATATAACAAAACATGTCTGGCCATGTCTCTTTTCAAAGGAGATGTGGATATATAGTCACGGTAAACATAAGTCACATGCCCAGTAAAGGTTCTCATCTTTCAGAAAGCTTTCCCCTTGAAAGACTGATTTTCACTCAGGGAAAACAAAATTACCAGCGGAGCTTGTTCAAGAGCGTAGATGTCTGGGCCTGACCCCTAAGACCCAACGAATGCGAATCTTTAGGGTTGAGAACAAAGCCAGTGTTGTTGTTGCTATTGTTTTTCCAAGACTATAATAGGTTGTCTAAGTGTGCACTCTTAATTAAGAATCCCTGCTGTAGAGGGATAACTGTAAGTACATTCATGGTGGAATCTTAGTTCATACTAGGTTGCTACATTACATTATTTTCCCCAAGCCCCACAGAAAATTCCTGATAACACCGACATTAAATACCTTTAAAATGCCCTACTGTGCATTGTGCCTCTGACTGCTGCGAAGTCTGGGTGTTGTGGCTGATGTGTCTAATCATTTACCACTTACGCTCTGGCACACTGGGCATTATCTCTGCCATCACCTTTATTACTGCACGGCGCCCTGAAGCTGGAAGCCATGCAGGACTCTTTCTGCCTCTTTGACAGCGCACAGAAGTCACCTGAAACATCCAAAGTACTCATCGTATGCTGAACAAACCAAAAATGTATCCCCATCCCTCGGTTGCTCCTTATTTTGGCCTTTTGTTAGTCCTTATTCAGAAATGAGAAAATAATACTGTGTGCCCCTTATTAAATCGGGCTCTGTTGTAAATTCCTTTCACTGCTAACTAAATCTCCAAAACATTTTCATGAGACAAACGGCTGACAAAACAGACGCAGACGAACACTAGCATGCCTGGCCCTCCATCTCAGGTCTGGCACTGAACAATCAGGACTAAGTCAGGTTCCTCCTCCGGACTTCCAGCTAAAGTCATCCCTGGGGAGCTGTAGACAGGCCAGCACTGCCTCAGGTCACATTCTTACGACTTCAGTGAGAGTGAACCTAGACTAAGAGCTGAAACTACTATTACACTCAACTTTCTCCCCGCTGCATGTACGCCCTTCTCCCAGGGAAGTATGCCCTCTGTGGTACAACAGGGAAAAAGGTCTAAAATTCGCATCTCATGGAGTGAGTCATAAATCAAATATTTGGCTCCTGTAGTCTAATTACATCAATGTACAGAAAGATAACATGATTCATCTGAAATCACAGGTCAGAGGGAGGCAGATCTGGAATTAGGACCCACCGGTTCTATTTGTAGTCAGGTGCTTGTCACTATCCTTCGCTGAGGGGTTGTGATGCTTTGGTCACGGTTTAGCTTAAGAACCACACAAGGCAGAGCGTCACACCACCTCCACACAAGCACCCTCCCTCAAAGTGCCTTTCCCTTCTTCCCTGAAATGACTCTCTTTTAGCTCACTAGTTTAGAACCTACAGTCTCAGAGGGTAAGGATACAAGAGTCCCAAACATCAGATTGAAGAAGACTGACAGAGAGAGGAAACTTCAAGGAATAGGACACAGGAGGCCCCCCACACCACGCTCCTCCTTTGGGTAAACCAGAGGAGCAGCTGATGTTATCTTCCCTAGGAACACCAACATGGTGCCCCTGGCCTAACACATATAATCAGGGAACTTCACAAGATAGGGACTTCAGGCCATCCCATACCCCAGGAATCAAGACATATTCAGAGGTTGTGCCTTTGACTTTCCTTACTAACTACTGCCCCCTCCTTTTATTCAAAAAAGCATTAACTGCACAAAGATAAGTTCAGAGTGGGAACCGCAAAACAGAAAACATAGACATAAAAACCAAACAGTGAGATAGGGTAGGGAAAGAGGTTATTTAAGGAGATAAGCAAAAGGATTCAAGATTCCCTGCAATAAATAAATTAAAGAGCATTAAACATATACATGCCCTTTAAAGAACCAAAATGATCAGAGTACATTTATTTTCTCAGTGTTATTTAGCCAGGTTGGAAAACAAAACCCTGAAATTAATGCCAAGATAACAGAGATGGGAGTAGAACTTTCCCCCCTAATAATTATCTTACTATCTGTCCCTCTTAGGTCAACAAACATTCTATGATTGACAGGTTAAAATGTTTAGGTTAGTCTGAGCTCACATAAACCATTTTAAGTTTTCTAGGATGGGAGAATGTTATAAAACAAACATGTAATATACCCTCCATCTTCCTACTTTCAAATCGTCTTCCCGCCTGCCCTCCTGTCTTTTGGGGGAGTATGTCCATCCACAAAGCATTTCAGTCATTACCAGGGTTATCACCATGCTGGTGAACACAAGTCACAGTAAGACCTAACAAAATACTGCCTTCTCCTAAATAAAAGGAGACGAAGTACCCAGGAAAACCTAATTGGCTTTCATGTATATGACAGAAGAAAAAAAATAAGTGAATTCAAAAAACTATCACTGTTACTCTTCTGAACCCTTTTACAAATTCTGGGTCTCCCAGATGTCTTGAGCCTTTGTGTAGAGAACCAGGGTAATGGATGAGGAGATCATTGAGAGGAACCCAGACCTGCTGTTTAATTCACAGTGAGAAGAGAAAAGAATCACTTGTAAAAAAGAACACTCCAGCTGGAAGGTCACAGGAAGACAGAGAGGGGGAAAAAGGAGCTTTAGGGAGATTTCTTTTGGAAATGTGAGAGAGAATTCGGTTGGTGGGCAGGGAGTATCTGTGAGGTGAAGAGTGGGACATTTTAGAAAATCCTGGTGTGTGCAGTAAGTGGAATAAAAATATACCTAATTTTTATGGATATCAGTAAAGTCAAAAATGTCTTTCCAGTGAACATCAGTTTTGGACTGGTGTTTATTTGCATGGGGCACTGTGTGAAAAAGAACAGGAGGCACCCAGATTTTGTGGATTACAGGTATTTTATGGTCTGCTTCAAATATTCCCTTAGCTTATCATGTGTGTACCCCTTGCCCTCAATGACACCCTTCTGTGAGGGAAAATAAAAATTCATTGTGAGGATGATTACAAGTAGACAGCACGAAGACTCCAATAGCAAATTATTTAAAATCCCAAAGGCCATGTGGTAGAAAAATGCTGGTACAGCAAGTGAAAACGCAGGTCCTAGAATATACAGCTACTGGAAAATGTGAAGTAACATCCATTTATCCATTAAGTAAATAGACTTCATGTGCCCTCTATTCATCTGGCCCTCCACTATGAAATGTGATTACAGCACTGAATAAAAAAGACAAAACTTCTTTGTTTGTGGCACTTTCGAGTAGGGAGAGAGACAGGCCCTCCATACACAAGTAAGTATATTGTACAGAATATCGCTACAGGTTAAGTAATATAAAAAATATAATAAGTCAACAAAGGGGTTTAAGAACTGTCAAGGGTAAGGATGGTGTTCATAATTTAAATAGGACAGTCAGGACCTCATTAATTTGAAGGAACTTAAGAGTATGAAGCACTTGAGTATCTGGGTGGAAAACATTCTAGGCAGGAAGAAAGTGCAAAGACCCTGGGGTGAGTCTGACAGACATTTCTGAGGAACCTACAGTTTACAGAATATTTTATAATATTCAGAGTTTTGTTTCTTCATGTAGTCCCAAATGAGATAAGAAAGGCAACCTCATAGAACTTTTGTGAAAAAATTACAAATAATCTATAAAAAGCACTTGGCTTTTTAGTAACTAATTAGTGTAAGTAATTAAATCACATTCTTCTTGCCATAGTGCTGCCTTCAAGAGTCAGATCACAGGAGAACAGGCTATAGGTAGTCTAGCCTAGTGGCAAAAAATAATAGATCCAAATTCAAAACCCAATTCCATTATTTATTAAGATGCATAAACTTGGATAAATTACTCAAGACCTCTAGATCTCTGCTTCATAATTTGTAAAACTGGCATAATATCTGTCCTCAGTGGTGATGTGAAAATAATGAAAAATGGTAACAGCAGCTAACATGTATACAGTATTCATCTGCCAGGCACAACGTGAAGTTGTTTTCCTGTACTGACTCATTCCATCTTCGTAAGACTGCGAAGTCATACCATTAAACTGATTTTACAGATGAAGAGACTAAGATCTAGATAAAGTGCCCATGGGTCCCTAAGTAGCAAAACGTGCAGTTGGGATGTGAATCCAGCAATCTGAAGACAGTCTAAGTTGCTGGTTACCATACTCTTTTTTTTTGTTTTTTTTTTTAAAGGTTTATTTATTTATTTTGAGCGAGCGTGCGCACGAGCACATGCACCGATGGGTGCATGCAAGATGGGGGAAGGGTAAAGGGAGAGTATCTTCAAGCCAATTCCCTGCTGGGGGCAGAGTCCTAACAATGCTCTGGACTCAATCCTGGGACCCATGAGATCATGACCCCAGCGCAAACCAAGAGTGAGACTGAGCCATTCAGGCACCCCTGTGCTACCGTATTCTAAATCCCCTCACGCTATTCCTGGCACCTAACTAATGCTCAGTAAGTGGCTGATGTTGTTATTACCACCCTCATTACCATCATCATCACCATCATGCCACTTAGAAGAAGCAACTTCTTCGGAAGGGGACAAAGCACAAATTTAAAATAATACTGCTGGCAGGGGTAGAGATAAATACACCCATCACCAGCAATAAACAGGAAAAAAAAGGCCA